TACGTTTATCTGGAGATATCAGGGAAATCAATCAAGTAAGGCACTCGGAAAACACGCGCGAACTGCACTGATCGAAAGCGACGAAGGCAAGGAGACAACCGCACGTAGACGCCAACGGAGGGCAACTAACGGAGCCGAAATTCGTATTCCGATTTCATAACTCTCTGTACCACCAAATGTGTGAGTGTCTGCCGCTCGGAAAAGCGTTATCTGCAGCCTGATAAGGGCTTATCGCATAATTGCCCGCTGAATGCCGTCAGGTAAGTTTCACTTGGCCGTCTCTCACGCTTTAGTTTTCTCTGTCCAAACATTTGCTCCTGCCCGAAAAGTGTTCTCCCGCTACCGTCCAGTCGAAAAGTTGGCTTTGTTTGATTTTCCTATCACTATCCGCGTGCAGTATAGTACAGGTTGTCGAGCTCTTTAATTGACTATCTTATCGAGCCCACGGAGTGCATCGACTCGGGAGGGGGGTGGGGTAAATGGCGTCCCTCAGACCGCACTTAATCCAGCAAACACCACGCTCACTGCCAAAATGCATGACGAAAAACAACGACGAGTCCCGGAAATATCATAAAGGAGTATAAACAGTCACTGCAATTACTTTCCAACTCTCGACTTCGCGCTCCATATATCCGCACTATAATGCTCATAAATATAAACTAAACTCATGCGAGTGGCCGCTCTGAATTTATATGTACGGATATATCTCTCGGTCCGTCCATCAGTCTGTGTGTCTGCAGGGCCATTACACAAATACCAGCGTTCGTGGGGAAAACGGAGAAATGGAGAAAATGGAGACCAATGAGCTTGCCACGTAGCCAAAGTATCGATGAGTTTCGAGTGGGTGACTTGTGGGTCGTGAGACCGGACAGCCGTTCTCAGCCGTGGCCATAACATGGACTCTCTTGCCGGACTATATACCATATAGGGGGCAATCCTATATATCCAATAGAGAACCGGTAAATAACCGATACGTGTTGGCTGGCGAAGGAAAGCTGGGTTTTGTGGGTTTGTTTGTCATTGTGCCATCAAATTATAATAAGCGACTATTTAGTGGTAAAAGTGTGTCACTTTACATACGGCCCAGTCGCTGTCTCTATCTCTTTCTGACTCTCAGCTGCTATCCCTTTCCCCCTCCCTAAAAGATATCTATCGGTTTGTGGGGTGGACAATTGGTTTTTACCTGCTACGGCCGGAATCGAAAATAGAAAAATCGAAAATTCAATTATCCATTAACGACTTGAGTTATAATGTGATTGTATTCATTGGCTGACTAATACAGCGAAGCTTTTGAGATAAAAAGCTAAAATAATTAATTGTATTTTATTGACACAATCAAGGTTGATTTAAAGCTATATAGTTTCTAGACTTTCATTCACAAATTTTCCTTTAGCCAATTGACTATCACTTGATAAGAATTGCGTGCCATACTTTCAATGATTTCTACAACGATGTGAAATAGTATAAGAATTCCTACATCAGATTAGTTAATAATTATATTAAAGCAAACACCGAAATTCGGTGTACATTTACCTAATCGGGTGCACCAATTAACTAGACCCCATTAAAGCAGTTACAGAAGATATGTATACCACTGATATCGGGTTATATATAACCCCCACCCCAGCGACTTAAGGCCAAATATAAATTAACGCAGTACACAAAAAAGTTCTGATACCAATCTACTGCTTATCGGGAGCTAGAGTCTGTACCTAACTGTTTACCGATTTATCTAATCTGATATTCTTATCTCGAGCAATTACTCCGCACTTCCTCCGATGCCAGGTGCCCCCTCAGCCCCTCAGTCCCCTCTACCAATCCTACTCGCAGCTCACGAGTTGCGACAGACACAGTGGGTCACGTCTGTTCCATCCACCCACAGGTACAGTGGGTGCCAGTAAATGGCCGCCATAAAAAGTCAGCCATTGAGATCCAAGATATATGTTGGAGTATCCGCATATGGATAGTTACTTCTGTCCATTCATTGCCCTTTTTACACGGCGAAAAATTTCATAAGAAATATTGCACAACTTTCTTTTAAAAATGGATTCGTTATTAATTTAATGTTAATGTTAAATTAAGCTACATTTTAAATAAATTGAACAAATCGGAGTAACAAATATTGCACTAGCTATTATAAGAGATATTGTTCGTAAAAAATATATTTCTTAAAGGCCTTGGTTATTTTTTTAATTACTTAAAAATATTTAAATTCCTTTGTTACTGTTTTAATTACTCAAAAATGTAATTAAAAAAATAAGAAAGGGCTATAAATATGTGACCGTCCGTAGGTCACAAAAGCAATCAAAAATATATTTAAGCTATGATGTGATATGTCGATTTCATTTTAATTGATGCCACACGTATAAAGCGGTAACCGATTTAAATTATTTAAATCAATATGTCCTTTTGAGCTAAAGTTCTACAGTATATTCTCGGAGTGTTCATGTGTGGCAACTAGTAACCCTTTTTGTTCTTGCAGTTCGATTTTTTGTGTCCTTATTGTTCGGCCCTTCAGTTTGGACTGGCCCGAATGGCGATCAATATTGAATTGAATTTGACCAACGGTTATAGCCACGATTCGGTTGCGACCTCCGCCAGACTTTTGAATGTCTGAGGGGTGAGCGTGTTGGTTAAGCGGAAATGTTATTTAATAATTCACACCAAAGCATTTCGGTAACAGAAAATACTCGGAGCTAAAGTTGTTTGTGGAGTTGAAATATTAACCGCAAACTTCCTCCACATCAAATATTCACCCTGGTCACAGCGAGAACCCTTCAATTCCAATAATATTATTAGAAACTCAACTGGAAAATCGAAGTTGAAGAAACCTCAGGAATGCGGTTGAAAATGCAACAAAAGCCAAAACACAGTTTAGTGGTTGAATAACGACAACAGCAGGAGCCAGGACATGGTCGTGGTCCTTGGTCGGATGTGCTGGGATGGAGGGGAGAATGGGGGATATAGACCGATAGAACGACTGACAGACGGACGGACGGACGGTGAACTACTAATAAAGCCAGGTGAACGCAGGTGGAGAGCTGGGGCGCCGGCCGAGGCAGACAAAAGGAAGCACAAATAATATAAATTAAATGTGGGGAAAGTCCCCTCATGGCCGCCGCCCACTCAAAAGAAAAGCAAGCTGAGTAATTATTTCCGGCAGGGCGGGCAGGACGGGCAGCCCAGGAGGAAAGGCAGGACCCGGAGAGTCCTTGCGGTTTGACTGCAACACATGGCCGGACACTTAAACCGAAGAGTGGCAAACGGGGTTGGAAAATCTATCTGGGCAATAATTTCGGTTGACATGCTTGCGGTAATTATTGACCGTAATGACAAAACCGTATACGAATACGGAAAATGGATGCCAAAGCCGTGGCCGAGGCCGAGGCCCCAAACCAATCCCGAAACCCTGACAAATTGCTTTAGTTTTTGGGGTCATCTGCCGGTGGGTTTTGTGTGCGCTTATTTGTGTTGTGTCCACTAATTGGATACCATTTTATGGACCCGTGCTGGACACCAGCTGACTCGGGATCGGCATTAATTCATCCAAACGCACCTCTAAACAAATAAAAATTGTCAACGGCATCGAACTATAAACAAGCGATTCGTAGACCATAACTTAATTCTATTTCTTTTATTTGCATTTGATGCGCAAGATTTATGGACCGCTATCCTAAATATAGCGATTTTAATGGAACGGAGCTGTCGAACACAACACAGGCCGAGAGTTTGTCCAAAAACTAATTAATAATTTTTCTATTGCTTTTTTCGGATTGCTCTCTTTGGATGGCTGTTTTTTCCATTTTCCACGATCTATTTTCCGATTTTTTTGTGTTTTCGCTAAATTTATTTCAATGCCGGCTATTTTTGTTGCAATGTGGCCCACATGTTGGGCATTCAGGGGTAATAAATATTGAATGCGACCGGCAAAATATCCCAAAAATCTATTCCCAAGAGATCAGCTGGAATTTGTTTAAGTTTTAGTTACTTGTGTTAAGCTCGTTTAGTTTCCACTTAGCTAGTGACTTACTTCAATGGCAATTGGCTCTAGTTATGTGGGAGCACTTTCGTAGACTAAATTGATTTCTTTTGTGTGACAAATTGCTCGAGTGATGGTGTTTGCGGAGATCCAAGATCCAGAAGACACACGACCGATGACGAAGAGACCGTAGATCGCGTGAGTCGAGCGACAAATGAATTCACTTGATGGGTGAAGTGCGAGGTCAAATCTCTCTTGGACGCAAAGCGAACGCACTCGCGGATATACCACTCACAGATACAGATACAGATACGCACACGACGCGCTGCAGATACAATCAACAAACAATAAGCGAGGCAAATTTACAACACTTGAGATGTCATTTAATTATTATCATGTTTTTTAAGAAATGTATTTTGGGTAATTGATAACACTAAAACAATAATCTATTTTGTATCCACACCACAATTTATTTTATTTATTAGAGGGGCTACGGTTTTATTTATTTTGTTTGCTTTATTTATTTATAATTATTTATTTAACTTCCGCGAACTGAAATTACTGAAGCCTTTATCCTTTGTTTTACAATATTTAAAAAAAAAACAGCACTTTAAAATTCAATTATATATTTCTGTAATTTCAAATATATTATAGGCCTTTTTGGTTTATTTATGATATATTTATGCCGCCGATTTTATGTGTTATATTTAAGATATTAATATGAGTTAATTTTTTATTTTATATTTTAAGTAGTTTAATTTTGTTTTTTGATTCTCTTTTACTTTATATGAAATTCTGTATCTCAATAAAATTTGTTTTTAATATATATATAATGTTATAAAATATATTTTTTTAGTCTACATACATCTTAATTTTATGAACTTTTGAGATCAGTTGGCACTTAAACACTTCTTTACACTTTTATGGCTAGAATTTCCTCGCTTTTGAGCTGGCACTGCAAGTGACATGATTTCCAAAAAATCTGCACTGGGCCACAAAAATATTATGTTATATATATTGCACTTTATATCTGTGTGTTTTCCTTTCGGGCGTGTAAAAGTGAAAATGCGAGTGGGCGGCGACGAAGCGACGACGACGATGCGCGCGATTTTCTCGCGTGAGGCTGGCGGAACGTTCAAGATGGCACTGCCACGGCGGTCCACGCCGATCGACTTGACAGTCCATGGAGCCGCCCGGCGGACCCGTCGTTATTTATTCCGGAATATAAATTATAAGTATAAATAATATTTTGAAAAATAAATAATATGCATGCTGTATTTATATAGAACTTAATTGAATTATCCGGGCGGCGTGTTGACCATAATTTAAATCAAAACACAAATTAATTTGACGCTCCTCTCTCACTGCACTTGCTGCTCTGTTTAATTTCTCAGGTTTTCGCGGAAAACTGTCATCAAGTGTCCACCGGAGAGAAAGAGGAAAAAGCGGACGTCATCGGAAAATCTGAGTAAAGGCACAATTTCCTCGGTTCGCGGACTCAGCGATCTCCGATCGATTTGCAGCTTTTACGAGCTGTCCAAGCAAAACCAAACCAAATCCATAATAGAACATATGTTTATCTTTTATTTCTTCCGATGGTCCAATGGTCCGCCACCTAGGTGAGTTTCCTCTTATTATTTTTATTTTCCTGTGACATGTTGTCAGGCGGATTAGTTCGGCCGTTAGTTTGACAGTCTCTATAAGTAGACACTTAAGTGGGTGGCAATCTAATTTGGCTGCGCTGCTCGAACAATTTGAATATTGCTCGGGGGATTAATGGGCGTGGATATGACCCATTTGGGTTGCATTCTATAAATTACACGAATGCAGAGTGCAGTTCTTTTTTCATGGAGAGTGCCAATACTTGTGTTTTGAAAGTAAGTTGTTGCCAATTTTTAAATATTAAAAAAAAATTGTTAGGTACGTTTTTAGTTTTTAATTGTGCCAAATGTGGAACTGAATTATTTAAGCATAGTGCGTATGGCCAACTTTTAAACAGTAATTGTATTTATTGTTATACCCTTGCAGAGGGTATTATAATTTTGGTCAAAAGTGTGCAACGCAGTGAAGGAGACATCTCCGACCCTATAAAGTATATATATTCTTGATCAGGATCACCTCCTGAGTTGATATAGCCATGTCCGTCTGTCCGTCTGTCCGTCTGTCTGTTTCTACGCAAACTAGTCTCTCAGTTTTAAAGCTATCGAGTTCAAACTTTGCACACACCCTTCTTTCCTTTGCACGCAGTATATATGTCAGAACGGCCGGGATCGGCCGACTATATCCTATAGCTGCCATATAACTGATTGATCGGATATGCCATAACTTTGGTGTTTGTAAAGTTAGGAAGCTGGAATTTCCTATGGGTTTTATATTTGGCCAATCAATCCGACCTCATAAGGATCGGCCGACTATATCCTATAGCTGTCATATAACTGATTGATCGGAAATGCCATAACTTTGGTGTTTGTAAAGTTAGGAAGTTGGGATTTTCTATGGGTTTTATATTTGGCCAATTAATCCGACCTACCAAATTTCATAAGGATCGGACGACTATATCTTATAGCTGCCATATATCTGATTGATCGGAAATGCCATAACTTTAGTGTTTGTTAAGTTAGGAAGTTGGGATTTTCTATGGCTTTTATTTTTGGCCAATCAATCTGACCTATCAAATTTCATAAGGATCGGCCGACTATATCCTATAGCTGCCATATAACTGAACGATCGGAAATGCCATAACTTTGGAGTTCTTAAAGTTAGGAAGTTGGGATATTTTATAAGTATTAAGAATGCATCATATGAATAATTTTGGAGAATATAATATATAGAGTATTCTGCAAGGGTATATCAACTTCGGCTCCGCCCAAAGTTAGCTTTCCTTTCTTGTTAATAATATTTCGAAAAATGTTTTAATTTATTTTAATATTTTTTATAAACGTTTAACTATATATTTTATTTCATATCTCTAGGATTCTCTACTCAGTCATATGCTTTATTATTTCCGTGTGTTTTTCTGCCCACATGTATAATTTCCCACTCAGCTTTTGGGGATCTTCCCACTGCTATTCATCGATCATACATCAGCCAACATTGTCAAGTTCATTTCTGCTTCCCATCACCATAACTCAGAACAAAAGATCTTTATGTATCCCCCAGGCAGTGACATTGCTAGGGATCCGAAAAAGGCTAAAATTAAATCAAATTGGTAATTATTCAAGGCAATCACTTGACACTTAATGTCAGTGGCTGAGAGTTCCATAAACCGCTTGTTATTGCAATTTTACATTCAGCTAAATTTTAGGAAGGAGAAAGCATTGGGGAATACGCGAAAAACAAAAGGGGAGAAATATAGCTCTTGGCCATCTTCAAGCCACTTACGTTTTCTCTTTTAATTTGGCCCTTTTACTATTTTCTGGTCAAATAATTAACAGCAGCTAAACCCACTTAATGACTTAGAAAAGTTACGACAACTTAGACACCCTATCTATATAAGTTAAGAACATATTTAAAATTAGTTTAAAGCTTGCCAAAGCGCGGATCATTAAATGGTATTAGGGGAAAACCTTTTTATCCTTTTTATTTGAGTAATGAAGCAAACTTTTAAATAATACTAAAAGTCTGTTAAGGTCTGTTTGAATGATATATAGAAATGTAAATAAAAATACCATTATTAATTCCCTAATTATTTAATATATAGAGTGATTAGAAATCTAATAAAATGTTTGGTATAAAACCCTTTATGTTTTTATTTGTTTCGAAGTAATTATTATTGTACATATGTTCCAATGGCGTGGAAAAGTATTTATCAATGGACTCAACCAAATCAAGGTACAGGGTATGCAAATCCGAAGACGGAAAGCATAATTCTGCACGTGTTTCGAATAAGTGGAAACTTTCCTTTGGCAAACTTCGTGAGCAATCACCAAACTCTCGAACTCAACCCCGTGGATAGTTTTGTGGGCGTTTAAAAATGCGCGACCGCATTCATTAGAGCAAATGGCTTAAATACTTGGCCAGTCGAAACTGATGAATGGCAGCTTAAGAGCCCGGGATTCGGGATCCAGAACTCCCCCAACTTCAACTCCGTACCCACGGCATTTGTTTGTTTGTTTGACTTTGGGCTCTCGGCTCTTGGATTAAGTTTTCTCGCCGGGCAAAGTTTCGACTTCCTCCGGTGGCCCGCCCGCAAAAGATTTGTGTTATCGTCCCGGCTGCATACTTTTGCCGCTCGGTGTCGACCAGCTGCGAGTGCATTTGCCATTGCATACTTTCGGGCATCTCGGGCAAAAATATTTCCTCGCCGCTATTGGAATTTGCAAATATTCTTATAAATTATTATATCAAAGTTCGGCATTACTTACGGCTGGCTGGCTTCGACAGCAAACTTGGCATTACTTTGCACACTTTTCCTGCACTTCGTTCGACTCACTCTCTCTTACTTGACACTTTAGTGTAATTAGTTCTCGTGCGGTTGCAGCTTTGCGGGGAAATCTCTTTGGACTTGGGAGGGGCGGGAAATGCACTGGTTTGAGCTTTCCATGTTTTTGCGGCTTTTTCATGCCCTTTGATGTGGCAAAAATTTCAATTAATGCAATGCAAAATACTTTCAAGCCCCCTGCCCTACTTATTATCCCTGGATTATGAAAATCGCTCATGTGCCGCAAGCAAAGATTGCGTAAAATCCCGAACAAATGTATCTGTTAATGCTTGATTAAGCAGCCTGTAGGTTGGACCATAAAACATTTAACTTTAATTACAAGTACAATATAATCTAGATGTATGTATTTATTCACGAATTTCCACTTACTTATAATGCACTATGGGGCCAACGACCACTTTTGTTGGCCAAAATTAATAACTCGCTCAATTTTAGAGATATCGAGATAAAACTTTACCAATCGTATTTTGGTATCCTTAGGCAACATATATGTTAAAATGAATAGGATCGAACAAATATATCCCATAGCTGCCATACGATCGATTTAGTCAAATTTGTTATTTTTTAAGATAATCGAATAATTTTTTTTTTTTATTATATACTTTATAATTACATTTATATTATATTTTTTTTATATTTTTTATATCTGTTTCTGAATAGAATTCAAAATTCAAAACAAAATGTTCTTCGTTCCACAAAGGTTCAATTTAAATGCACAAAAATCGAATTAAACAAATTTTATTAATAAGTAAAAAAAATGGCACCTGCTATTAAACATCATGCTCTTCGGATTCTAGTTCAATATTTCATTGAAAATTAAAAGGATTCTAATATTCAACGTAACTACTGTTAAGGTTGAAAAACTTGAGGTTATGTGCTTAAAAATAAAATTTCGGAAAAAGTGGCAATAAGTGGCGATTCTAACCATATACATTTTAAAAAGAATTTAATACTCTACAAATCTCAATAGGTTTCAGAAGTGGACTCCGCTGGACTCACTTTGTTGCTCTACTTAAAAATTAGTTTTCTAATTAAAAAACGCGTTTTAGACAACTCACTTTAACACTTTATTACAAAGACAGCGCGATAGATTTCAACCGTTTAAACACACAAACACCTAGTACACACCACCATTCATCGAATTCATATTACAAAAATTTTTTGGAACGCTTATAAAGTGCTTTTTTAAATACTTTAAAAATGCAATTTATAAGTCGAATTTCAAAAGCACGTGGCTTGCATCTTAAACATCTGATTTAACAGCTGTTATCTTAACAGAAGCGCACTCTATCGGAATTCCTGAAACGTAACATTGCAGATTGGTCTTCTGTTAATATATCCTAAAACAACTTTTTTGGTTTTGACGACTTTTCAAAAATGGGTTTTGGCCAACCAAAGTGGTCGTTGGCCCCATAGTGTAATGTAAGGAAGACATTTGACTTAAGACTTTTGTTTATTTATTTACTGTATGGCATATTAATGTTTAAGGCAGGCTTGCACCTTGTGAGGTCAAAAAAATAAATTTTTTTTTTTTGCAGTTTGGATACATACATGTTTCAATTTTACTCTCCTAAAATTTCAAGTCGAAATCTCTTGAATTACGAAAGTTATCGGGCGTTTGGTGGACCGGTGTCAAGCGCGTTGTCATTATAGTGCAAATTTTCAAACGCGTTTTTCTCGAAACCATGTTTTCCGAGTTGGCGGAAGTCGTACAAGCCGCAAAAATTGAGCAATCGTCATGAAATTTTTTATACATGTTCCTCAGAAGTATGTGCATGGAATAGACTAGGATCTTTTGAAAATATTAAAAATTGTTTATTTAAAAAAAATAATAAATGACGAAAAAATGAGGAAAAAACCGATTTTTTTTTCAAAAGCTCATAATTTTTGTATTTTTCATGTTTTTTCAATAATCCTAGTTCAAGCCATGCGAACAAGTGTACAGATTAAGAATATATTCGTTTTTTGCGTTTCAGATTATTTCTTAAAATTCCAAAAAATCCGCCATGAGGACGAGTTTTTCGCGGACATGCCGCCATTGTTGGGTACTGCCCCTCCCCCCTTCGCTTGGATCGCACTCAAAAAAATTGTGTAGCTTCAATAAACTGTACCCTACAACTGGCTAAAATTTTATTCCCATACCTACCATACTTTCCAAGAAATAAATTCCAGAAAAAAATCAGGTTTTGGGCGCCAACAAGGTGCAAGCCTGCCTTAATAATCTGATTCTTACCTTTTAAATTTACATACTACTTATAAATATAAATATACATTATCTATTAATTCAAATAATTATCCACTTAAGTAATATTGCCTTTGCTACCTTAAAATGTTTATCTATCTCTATTTAATTCCTATTAGAAATTTGTCAATAATAAGTTGTTCTTACTTTCTATCCTAAACAATTTATTGGTTGAAATCCTAAGACAAAAAGTCAAACAATTGGCCAAAAACTAACTTTTTAGAGGAGCTTTAAAGAAATTATTCTTGACACTTTTCAATTAGTGAAGAAAGTTTATTTTAATTGTGACAGTAACACGTTGTTGCCATCGCTAGCCCCAAAAAGCAAGAACAACACGAATAAGTTGCCAGGACAATACAAAAGCCTGGCAAACTAAGGCCGAAGTCAAGGAGCGCCCTGGGAGCCACAAAATGTCAAAAGAAAACTTTTCTGGCCAAGATTAATTACAATTGAAAACAAATGAATGCAAAAACGATAAGCAGCCGAAAGGATTTCCACAGCAAGTCGAAAGGCGCGGGTTGCGGGGAAGGCCAAATGGAAATGAAAACCCAAAACTCAACTTTGCCAATCAAGATAGAAGGGGGTGAGGCGGCTGAAAGAGCTCTAATCAGAGGAATGGTGTTGAAATAAATGTTCACACCTACAACAGAAGTAGAAATGCAAGGGCATTAGCCGCACACTGAAAGAAATTATTATAGAATGCCTAATCGAACATTTTTGTGTAATAAAATTTATATTTTAGGAAGTCAAGCAATTAAAAATCTTTTAAAAAAGCTAAAATAATATTTTTATTTAATACTTTAAGTGATTGTAAGTAATTAATTAAGCAAATCAGTGGGGCAGAGTAATTAAAATATTTTTTTTATTTTATTTAATATATTTAATAATTTAAAATTGGAAGAAAAAGGCATAACAAATCCTAACAATATATAATTTTTATTGGAATAAAAATAAAAAGCACAAGGTGTTCTCCAAATATAATCAACTGTTTAACAATTTCGATAGCGGCTAAAAATTAAATAAAAATAATATTTTAAATCTTGGTTTTTTCAAGTGCTGGTAACAACTGTTGGCTAGTTCAGTTTTTTGGGACCAGAACTTTCGACCGAAGGAGGTCGCAGTTTTGGGGAAATGTTTTGCTGGCCGACGACGTGACCTGTTTAGTTTTAGCAGGGAGTGGCTCTATTTCGGTTTAGTTTTAAGTTTTTTATTGGGTGTGGGGTCTTTGTTGGTGTAGTGCCAGTGGTCAATGGGCCAACATTAGCACCACTTAACCCGCAGTGCAGTGTTTTTCCTGTGAAAAACTGCCTTGGAAAAGTTTTCGTGCATAAATCATGAAATTAATTAATTTTGACACACATTCCCCTCAGTCGCTCTCTTAAAAAGTAGCACCATAAGCAACTTTGCCATCAAAGAGTTTTATTCATTTTTTTTTGCAGTCGCTCCTCTTTGCCAGAAATTAAAAGTAAAATTGAGAAGTGAAACATCAACACCAACAACAACTAAACAGGGAAAAACTTGCCTTGCCACGCAAACTTTTCCAACGTGGAGTGTGGAGCGGGGAAAAAGGAATCAAGTTTGAAATATGTGCAAAATTCATTCAGTATTTGAAATATTCCCAACTTGCTATAAGTTTCGTATGTTTCGCCTTTCGCCAAAAATAAAACTTGTGCCGTGAGTTTAATTTTATTCATGCTGCTAAGTGAGTGTTGAGTGAGTTTTCTGGAAAAAAATAGTGTAAAAAGCGGGAAGGCTGGAGGTTGAGCGGCAAGCTAAGGCAAACTTTGCGCCAAAAATTGTTCACTATTTAATTGCATAATTTGAGAGCGCACTGAGATTACACCTGCGAGAAATAAAATTGTTTTCAACATGGCCATGGACAACAGATTGATTTGTGTTTTATGTTCACTAAAAGTCATAGTTCACTTACAATACTTTCTTAGGCAAATTAATTCTTTTGTATGTTCCTACTGTGATTCGAAATGAATTTTTCTTTATAAGAAAAGATCGGATAATGTTTGCAAACTTTTGATACACTTCGCTATTTCTGAGACTGTGGCGATATTTTACTAAGGAGATTATTAAATCAAATTGAATTCTAATACTTAATTCCGAACACAATGTTATAATCCAACATCACCTGCATTTCAGTGCCTTCGAAGCAAGATAAAATTATCCTTCAGTTCATATCCTTAATTCATATTTTTTCCAAAATTATATAAAAACTCAATGAGGTGGCTAGCTCGGTGAGCCATCATCTCACATACAAATTGTGGTTACCACCAAAAAATTTAAGAGAGGTGTTAAATTTTCATTTCCTTACCAAGAAGAAAGCTCGCCAAAAAATCAATTTCATGCAAATAAAATAAACCATTTATTAAACTCTGAAAAAGGACAACTGGTCCCAGTGTAGTTTAGACTCAGAAAAGGTCGAGTAAAAAGTCCCACAAGGAGTCTTTGCCGTCGTCCATTTCCTTCTTATCCAAATCATCGAGCTTCTTTTTGAGTTTTTTCAGCTGCTGTTCATCGCTGAAGATTGCCTTGAAAACGCGAGCAGTAAAGTTATCGTAGATGCCGAGCCTCATAAGAAGATTTAGGATTTTTTTTTCAGACTGGGTGAATTTCTGTCGAAGGGCAGGTCCGTTCTCGGGCAGACTTCCATTCTGGATCGCTGGTGTCCTAGTTGAGCCGAAGGACTCGTCGGTCCGCTGAAGAAGTCTGAACATATTAAGAGCCGTAATTTTTTCGTCCAGTTTTGAAAATGGAAGTTTGGCTGCTTGCTGTAGTTTAGTGTAATAAGAAGAAAACTCTCCAGCCCTCAGATCCTTGAGGCTTTCTTCTAAGCGGGCCGTGATGATATCACTCAGCTTTATAAGTGGATCCAAATAGGCTTTTTTCTGGCTTTGGATCCCGTGGGACATTAGCAGAATCGCAGCGAAAATTAAAAATGCCATGGTTTCTTTCAAACAACTGCTTGACTCTTCCACGGATCGCTGTCTTTATAAAGCGCCTGAGTTTTAGCGATAATCATGAGTTATGCCTGTCAAGCAGTAAAATAGTTATTGAAATTTGTATAGGCAATGTTTCAGATGAGTTAGCTATGAGGGTCGTAAAAGATTTATGACTCTATTTACTGTCACAACTGGGTATTTTTGCTAATAATTTTCGAGGCTATTTTAGGTTAAACAACAATATACTAGAATATGAAGGCTGAAGTCAAGTTTTCAAGTTACACTTTACACCCTGACCGAATTAAAAGCATGTAGGGTTTTAGCTTTCGAAATAAAATATCGTTAAGAACTGGGCATTTTGTTTTTTTACGATTTATTGTGTTATTATATATTCAATATAAAAAAAATTAGTAAAAATACTCATACGCTTATGCTGTTTGAACTTTAACATCAATATATTTTTTCCGTTGTATGGTCGTATTGAACCAAACCAATCTAAGACACGGTTTCGATTTGTTTCGAGGAGATTATTAACGTTCTGCCAGTAATTATTTATATAAAGTAGTTATGTAAAGTTTTTGTATATTTAATAATAATTTTTTTGTTTATTAATTTGTAATTTTCTTTAAAATAACTCGGTTCAGAGCAGACCAAACTTCGAATGCAAAGAAAAGCAGCAACTGTGACAATGTAAACAACAGCGGAAAGAACTGGTGACTGGCGAAGGGGAAGGGGAAGTGGGTGGGGACTGTGGGGGGTGGTTATGGGGGTGGTAAAAAGTGCATACAAAATTGCCAAGTAGGGGAAACAAAAGAAACAAAAACGACGCCGTCAGCTGCAACGCAAAACTGCAGCTATCCGAAAATGGTAATGGCCTTCCATGGGTGGCTAAAAGGGGGCTGGCTGTTTCAGCTTAATGCGAAAATCTTGTTGCACGCCGCCTGCAGCAAACGATTCGGCCTCCAGACCATGGCGAAAAGTCTATTGTTTCACAATCATAATTCTCCTGTAAGCTTTCGGTTGAAGGGTTTCCAGGGAATGGAGCGTTTTCCGGGTGGTGGGCTGCCACTGGCTGCAGGAAATGAACATCATTAATTTTGCCATCCCGCATTTGCATTGGAAATGGCATTTCAATATTCGCTTCGCTTTCAAGATTGCCAAAACCATTTTCCACGCAGCCAAACAACCTCTATTCAAGCCATCGCCCGTCCCGCTCACTCCGAATATCGCCCTCCCGCTCCCTCACTCTGTCGACGGCTTGGAAAAACTTTCAACTGCTGTGCGCGATTGCCGCGACGTGACTTAATTTCCACCGCCGGCAGGCATACAGCTAAATATTTGTTCTATCCGAGGGGGGAGGGGATTTTGGGCAGGGGTTAGTTAGACTCCTACACTGCGAAAGAAAGTGGAGAAGGAATAGTTATTTACAGAAACTTACCTGCATGTTACTTCCCTAATTGCAAGCACTTATTCAAGATATTGAGCTTGTTTAATTTAACAGTTTACCACTGGCACTTATTCATTAAATTGAATAAATAATTGATAAATAAAATATTAACTTTGGTTATCATGTATAGTTTTTAGTAAAAAATACTCTTTACTTTTTCTTCAGGTATAGATATGAACATTAAAGATAAGGCCTATTTTATTATTATTATTTCACTTAGAATGAATTCTTTGTTTAATTTTAAATAAAATTTAGTATGCCGATAGAAAATGGAAAATCAAATCTTGTTTAAGGAATACTAAATAGAATTGAACCAAAGTATTTCCTATAATACTAGTTTAGGAATCAAATATTTTGGAATAAAGCTAAGTATAAAATATTAATATTATTTTTATTTAGCGGAAATAGTTTTATTGATATTGTATATTTTTTCTATTGCCGAACTTCAATTTTCTTATACTTTTTTATGCAATAAATTGAATAATAAATAATAAATTGAATAAGGAAATTAGAAGTTGAAATATCCGTTGCTTTAAAAGATAATTCGGACTTCTATGAGATGACAACAGTCTTGAACCATTTATTTCTGCCGGTGCATGTTTCACTTTGAGCATTTATCAATATATGGACATGTCCTGATAACTCTGTCGATGGGAATTGCGGCACGTAGGGCTCGACACTCAAGTGTCCAAGTGTTGAAAACGCCGTGCATAAAAACTAACACGTACGCACCGATCCGAACCGAGCCAAACTAAACTCTAAGTGGGGGTCAATTGGGGGGAGGAGGGGTCTTGGCCATATTCCACGGCTAGCCGGGGGCTAAGCCAGTCCATATTAGATATATATACTATATAGGCACATTGGGAGTGAGTCCGGCAGTGGGCTCGAGAGCGAAAATCATAGCTAAGCACTTTCAATTGGATTTATGCGTTTGCGATGTGCCCAAAGATGCGAATCGGCATCGGAATCGGAATCGCGTGCCCAGCTGGCTAATGTCTCAATTTCTCCGGCTATAACGCCCTGTAACCCCGTAACCCCCATCCCTGCACTCACCCCCCTTCGAAAGACTTTCTTATTAATCAGCACAAAAAGTTTGCCGCACAAACTTGCAATTCAGCCGATAAGCAAATAGCCCAAAAAACTGTTTACACAACCCATACATGGCCAATTATCCCTGCGCCAGTGTGCGTGCTTGTATCTGTGTGCTCATGTGTGTGTTTTTGCGTTCGAGTGCCTTTGGTTATTAAGTTTTATGATCAGTTTGTGTTTTGCGTTGAAACGATTTATTTAGCTAAGCGGAATTAATTGGAATTTTACGTGTTGATTTCCCTTACACTTACATAAGACTAAATGGTAAATGGGATGGGGCTGCGGAAAACCCCTTGAGGCCAGTCAGGAAAAGCTCCTGTACGCTGAGTCTGCCTAATCGATTATAAATTAAAGTGGCTGGAAAGTGGGGGACTGGGGAAAATGTAAACACGTCACGAAAACCTCCTGTACACTGTTTTGGTTTTCATTGATTTTATATTTTAATTAACTAACCCCAAACTAAGTTTAAATGAAAAGTAGCTTTTCCACACAATGCAACATCCATCAAATCGAAGTGGTTCATACTAGAATGCACGGATTGCAAGGCTCAAAGGCGCAAGCTTAAACTAATTAGATTCCTGAAGATCCTTTTGACGATTAAAAACTAAACTGTATCCAAAATTTTACTATTGAAACTGAAAGAGCCAGAGGCATCGGAAATGGTTACAAATTGTTTCATCACACTTAATCTGTTTTAAGAGGCCTTTGTTTTAGTTTTAGAAGAACACCAGACTGGAAGCTTGTTTTGTTTTATTCTAGCAACATTAAAAACGAAAGTCCAACCTCAAGCTATCATCTTTTTTATTATTACTAATTGTTGACGATTTTTATTTCGCCATTATTAGTCAAATTTTATTCTTAACAGCTTTTTATAATAAATGCATAATTACTATCGTTTTACTGATTTTGAATAAGGGGAATGTAATCTGAATGCTGAAGGGTGGAAATAATTATTAAAACACCACCAATATTTTTGGCAAGTGATAGTATATATTTCAGAAGTTATAAAGAAATTAAGCTTATGCGATGGTTAAAGAATGTTATATTTTTAGTAAATCGGCCCCTCAATAACCTAAATCTTTTACCGGAACACGAGATAAAAAATAAAACAGGAATGAAACAGGTGAACAGCGTAGATGCAAAATGGAATTTCGATGCTGATCAAGAACATGTATTCTTTATAGGGTCGAAAATATTTCCTTCGTAGCGTTACTCACTTCTATATTATATTTCGACTCTTAGTTCAGCAATTAAAGTATCATAGTTCTCCAAATTCAATGGAGTCCTGAAACAGTTATTTTTCTTAGCCACGGTTTGAAAAATGAATGTCCGCTTGTGTCCGTTCACTTCAAAGAGGTATTTGGCCCTTCGCCACTTGGACGGGAAACCGCAGTTAATGCCGGCAACAAAAGCGACCCAAAACCAAATCGCTTAGCAAACAATGGCGAAGCTCCCCAGTCCTCGCCCCAATCCCAATCCCCATCCCAATCCCAATCCCGCATACCTAAAAATACCCCTCTCGACCACACGTCATATGCGATCCAGCAGCTGGGCAGTCCGAAATGCTTTATGCGATTATTTGCCGAAATGTTGCGAGAGCGGGTTTCGTTATTTATTTGCCTTGGGGCCCGGCAGTTTCTTTCTCTATTTCGGTCGAAGTTGGGTGGGCATTAACAAACATTCCTGTGGCCGGCAACAAAAAATTGTGGCATATTTCATGTTTGCTCCAGGAGCTTTTCTTGGGACGACGGATCAGAGTCGCTCAAGTGTTAAAATTTCCAGGCTGGAGATTTGCATGACAGCAGGGGCAAGGGGCTGGGAAAAGTGCTTGTTGGGCCTGCCACATATACCTTTATTGAAAACATAATACGCCTTTCGCATACACGGTTTCCATTTCATTGCTTTCGTTTTCCATTCGATTCGATTCCGTCCTCTTGGATTTCATTCTGTTTTGGGAATTTTTGCGGATGGCGCGTGACAAAACTCAACTTATGCCGGCTTTGAAATTTACTTTGCCCGGCTAATCCGGGGATGTACGAGTCCTTGGAGAGCTGTCATCGAAGTGAAGGAGCATGGCCGAAAGAGTGGATCCTAAGCCAACTGCCCAGTGCGTTTTTTCGAGTGCCTGTCACAAACGCGTCTGGCCAAGAGGCATCGCAACTGGTCAGAACGGGGGGTCATCGATGGGAGTTGACCATGTCAATGGCCATGAAATGGCAGAGGGATGAGAAGGCGGGGGATGTTGGAGAGGTTCAATCAGAAATGGAGGCCCAGGAAACAGGTCAGACAGTCAACAGGGGGCACTAAATAAAACCCTTAACTGAAACCCTATGGAATATTAAGACTCAAGGTTTAAGATGCAGGTGACGAGTGAATCTCCAAACTAAATACGAAAATGTATATTTAGGTGTTTGTGAGTTAAAGCAGGAATTAAAGTATTTATAACTGTTAAGCAACTTAAAAAGAA